ATCTAAAACTGTGAAAATTACACACACACATATATTTATATATATATACCTGTCCAAGCTAAGGAGTCCAAACCACACACACACAGTTAGTGAATTCATAATGATGGACAAAAGCAGGTCCGCACCATCGGCAACAAAAAGCCAATTTAATGATCGACTAACTGTTTAGCTCAGTTTTTATTATACAAGAGAACAAAAATTAAAAAGAGCTCAAGCAACAACAAAAATACATAATGATGCTTATAAAGCCTGAAATACCCGAATCTGACAAAGAAGATAAAAAACAGTTTAACATTAATCCTCTTTACAATACTGAGAACTGCTGAGCTGAGAGCTAACAAACTGTGCCACATTGTACTTTAAAGTGCAAATCATCACCTTATTTCAAATATAGTGGTTTCCCTTCAACTGCTGAACACAGAAAAACTTTAAGAAGCTGCAGAGTTTGTGTACGATACGTCCTTGACAGCTGAATGTGCCTAACAGCACGATAGTCATCGCTAGTAACGAATCCAGCTGCAGTCAGTGAAGCAGCACTTCTGCTGATTGCTGATGTTCTGACCTGAGTTTTTACTCTTTTCTGTGGTAGCTTTGAGTTATAGCAGAAAACTTGACCTCTGACCTTGAGGTTGAGGTCACTTAGTTTCAAACTTGTCCGAGATGTTTAGTAGTTGAACCTGGGATATCAATTTGAAGCTCCTATGTCACCTCATTCTCGAGTTATCTCATTGACAAACTTGGCTTTCCACGCCACCCGCTCGTCAGCTCACCAGCAGAGTAACAACAATACCCCAGCAGCCTTTTTCAGCCGATGGGTAACAAATATGACTCCTCAGCCGAAGTCATAAAAGGTAACAATAAGCCTACAGGCTACAGATTTGATGACTTTCTTTCCAGCATCACAGCTCAAGCTGAAATAAACTGTGAGTGAAGCTTTCAGAGCCCCCTCCCCCCGCAGCTTATAACAAGACAATATTGTGATTTTTAGCAAAAAATTACTGGAAAAACTGTTTTATCCTAATCATCTTGTTTTCATTATCAGAAGCCAAAATCTTAATTAAAATTAAAATCCAATTAATCTCCCTGCCCTACTGCAGGGGGTATGTTCAGTTTTCATCTCTGAGTCAGACTCCATAAACTGTCTAAGCAAGTTTTACTGGGAGCTGCAGGGAGTCCCATGTTTCCCCAAATCTTTCCAACAGAGGTGAAGACAGAAAAGTGAGCACAGAGCCACAGTGGACACATTATAAATTAACCTGAATTATCCTTCCAGACCAGAGACACGCTGTGTGTATGCGCTTTGATCTGTAGCTTTGGGCTTCATGTTGTGTGTTTGTTTCTGCATAACCCTAAAATAATGCATTTCAAGACCAAGTATAAGAGCTCTTCATCGAGTTGCCCATCACATGTTCGTCTACGCTCCTTTCAAGTATTACAAGTCACTCTGGGAAATCTGCCAGACATGAAAGAGCTGACGGCTGAATTATAAAATATATTTCGTAGCTAACTGCTGATGTGAGGAGCTAATTCTGAAATGAGATGTGCACAGCACTCGAGAGCATTTCACACTCATCTTAAAAGAAATACGTCAAGTCAAAAGAAAACACATCTGAGAGCCTGTGTGACGTTTTCATCAGACCGAAGACTCATAATCACAGGCAGTTAAACTCACTGAATAATCCACCTCAGGTGAGAGCGTCTACCAGCGCACACACAACCGTCTGCAGCATCTCCCTACAGAGTGACGTGTTTTTGCTTCTTTGCTGTTTGTTGTTGCTCCTCACTAAACACTTCGAGAAAACACACATTTTTTTTACAAAGGAACCTATTGTGAAGGCTAAAAGCAGGACGCTGGGTGAGGACATTACTGAGGATTTCAGTGTCACACACTGAATCTTTGTGCACTTATTTGTGCCTTCTGCTTCTTTTGTTGACATTTTGAAGGTAAATTAATTTTACATTGAAGAAAACACTAAATGTTAAGCTTTCTGCTCATGTTCACTTAAACATGATAACACATTACGTGAAATTTCCAAAAGCTACGAAAATATATTCAATACAGCATCTTTCAGACTTTTAAACAGCTGATTCCTAAAATAAAGCGTTATTATGATGGCCAGATTAGTCAAACCAATGTTATAAAAACAAAAATCATATTATTTGCAGTATAGCAACATGACTCCTGGACTGACACAAAGGTTTCTAAGAACAACAAGTATGTAAATTATGCCGTTCTTACTTTATGACAGTTCTCCATAAAAATGATTCCCATTTACAAATCCAAAGCGAGAGACTTTAAGCTCTGCGTTCTGCTTTTCCTGGTTTTCTGTCATATATAAACTGTTCCAATGATGGATATTAAACCAAGTTTCAAATAACGAGGAAAATGAATCAAAGTGAGCAAAAAAAGAAGCTCGGGATTCAGACTTTTTTTTTACTCTTGCCTCGGTATGATGTCATACTGAATGGATGTCCCTAATATGATGGGAGCCAATCAGAAATGTTGATCTAGCGGGAGGGTGACGTCCACGGATGGACAAAATGGGCCTAGAAACGAGCAGAGCAGGTCGTCTGTAAACCGAAACCAACAGTTCAGGGACGTCTGCAGGATGTGGAAGAAAACCTCTGACCAACCCAACAATTTATCTCTGCGCTCACACGACAATCCTCAGACTCTGTTAGCACCAAACAAACCACGTTGTCAGAATTCAACTGATGAATAACGGCGCTGACTTGAACTTTCACTCGTGACAGCAAACAGGAAGAAAACAAAGCACAAATGGACTGCATTTAAAAGCTTTTTTTTTACTGAACACACAAAGTGCTGCAATACAAACCACATTCACTTCTTCACACTGCATTTATTATAGTAGAAATACACCACATTATCGTAGAGAGGCACCAGTGATGTTAGGGCCAGTTTCTGAATGAAATCATTGGCTTTCTGATTAATGGAAAACACTCTCTATACCTCCTGAGCTTTTCAACGAGATAAAAGAAAAAAGGGAGTCAAATATTTTTAGTGTGCAAACCATGCAGTGAAAGGTTTAACTTGCAATTATATCATTTCAGCACATTACTGTGGATTACTGCAGGGTTAGCACTTGGTCGCCAGTACCAGGACACACTCACTGACTGCTTTGCATCAATTCATAAAATCCCTAAACTTAAAAAATAAAGTTATCCCTTTGCCTGCATAAACCTCAAAATAACAATTTAATCCTGCCAAAGAGGTTCAAGAAGCTTCAGTGGTTCAGATTATCTGTCTGACTGTTTGTTAGCAGGATTACCAAACATTATGGGCAGATTTCTGTACATTTTTCACCAAAATTATGATTGATTTCATTTGGGAGTCAAACTGCACGTGGAGCCTGGACATTTTGGAACGATTCTTTACTGCAGCAACATGGACCCAGCTTTGATATTTGAAGGTTTTTGACTGTATAGGTCACAACAAACAAATAAGTAACTGATTTGAAATTTCCAAAAGCAGAACAGGAGGCAGGCTCCACTCCTGCGGAAGCAGCTTCCTGTTTGGGTTCAGAAGACACCCTGTCTACTTTTAAGATCCAAACTTTTAATTAAATTCTATTAAATTGGTTCAACTTTATTTCTAACATGACAAAATCACAACAACATTCGCCTCAAGATACTTTATATTGTAAGGTAAAGACCCTGCAATATTAGAAAGAAAATCCCAACAATCAGTCAGCCCCCTATGAGCAAGCAGTTGGGAAAAAGTGGGAAAAAATAATTCCCTTTTAAGAGGAAGGAACCTCCGACAGAACAGAGGCACCTATTTTTACCTGCCTATGATTAATAGTTCTGTTTATTGTTTGTCGTTTCTTCATCAACCCCCTACATGTAACAGCAAATAGCTAAAACAGAGTTCTTCCTCCCCAGTGTCGATGCTCATATTGTTAGTGTTGTCTGTCTTAGATTGTAGAGTCTTTACCTTATAAACACAAACACAAACTGAACTGAAATAGAATTTAAGTTTCAGTCTGTAAACCGAGAGCCGTGTAAAGCAAAGATTCCACAAAACGAGCTGAGAAATCAAATAGTTGAGCTGTAACATCTCCCTCCTCGAGGGAAAGTTCAACGACAGGCCACTAATGGATTACAGCAACATGCCGCTCCCTCTCTCGCCATCAATCAGATACTAAGTAGCAACAAAACTGCTCAGAATCGTGTTCTGCTTCATTAGCTTGCGTTGTTTACTTCCACATCTGATGATCAGCTCTTCAGTCGATGTTGACAGACTGCTGCGGTTATTTGAAGCTTTCTGAGAGCTCTGTGTTCATTTCTTGGTGCTTTCAGGGACTCAGACATATATGATGATGGTGCCATAAGACAGTCTGACAATCAAAGGCAAGCACATTTAGAAATATCACCCTCTCGGCTGTTCACCTGCACACTTTCATATGAAGCATCTGACTCTAAAAGACCTCCTGGAATTTGATGCATTTTTACCAAAAAAGATTGAAGTTATTGTTTTCACCAGCAGGGGGCGCTAAACCTGTGTGGAGCTCAGCTGCATTTCAGGCCCTCCTTTGTGTGTGTGTGTCTGTGTGTGTTGGACAGCTCCTGGTGCTGAAACCTGCAGCACTCTGAGGCAGTCACACCAGGCTGCTGTCACAAACTGACGCATTTCATTATTAAAACACGAAAAAATCAAACCACCTGAGCCAGAGTCGGGGAAGCACAGGCGACACAAAACATCTCAGGTAAATTCACACCTGGTCGTGGAGTCTACGACTGTAATTGTGCGCTCTAAAAGACGGGGAAACACACGTGCCAGCTGCACATAAACCGACTGTAGGTTTGGAAAGTGAAACATCATCACACAGCTGAGAGTTCCGGTAAATATCAGCGCTCCGTAAAAAGATAAAGTTTCAGGGAGGAGAAAGAGGAAGATAAAGCAGCTGCTTCGGGCAAACGAAAGAAGACAGAGCAGAGGAATGGAGGAGACGTGAAAGCAGGGTATGTCGAAGGCTCACCTGGTTGCTGGAGAGCTGCACATTCTTGGAGATGAGCAGCTGGACCAGGATGTGAAGCCCCGAGGTGAACAGGCCGGCCAGGATGGCCCAGGTGAGCGGCAGCGGCAGCATGCTGTAGGTGGCGAACAGAGTGAAGAGAACGTACCCCACCCCGTCGCCCAGCAGCCCGTAGCCCAGCCCTGCCGCCAGGATCTGCGTGGCCATTGCCACCCAGGTGACCACGCCGCTGTACTGCAAGTAGCTGTGCGACGTGGTGTCCTTTCGCACCACCACTAAGGCACAAATAACAACTTCGATGCCCGTGAAGAAGCCCAGGAGCGTCCCCTTGATGGGGTCCATGGGGATGGAGGCCAGGGTGAGGTGCAGCACCAGCAGGGTGAGCTTGGTCACCACGTCCAGGATGTTCATCACCACCACCGACTTGCGCCTTTGGCCCAGGAAGTAGCGCTGGTACAGCCGCTCCAGGTCGCGGGACTTGAAGGAGTTGCGCAGCGTGGGGAAGATCACGCCCCGATACGTGTAGCCCCAGTTCAGGAAGAAGTCTGAGTTGCTCGGCGCGCAGTCGATCTGCAGGAAGCCCAGGTCGCTGCTGGCGCGCTCCGGGAACACTTTGGTCCCGCCGTTGTTGTGCCGGTCTCCCACCGACGTCCGCCCTGCCGACTGCTTCCGCGCCCCTTGGCTCGGGTCGTAGGGCTCGTCCGGCCCGATGCCCTTCACCCCTCCCCCGCCCTGCTCGTGGATGAAGCGCTGCTCGGTGATGTGCCGCACCGCGTTCTGCCACAGCAGCCGTTTGGGTCGCGCGCTGCCGCTGCTGTTGCTGTTGTTGCTGCTGCTCGGGGTCTTGTTGATGGTGTACAGCTCCTCGCTCGCGCTGGAGCACCGGACCTCTGACAGCTCCATGGCAGCTGCCGCCGCGCGCGCTGGTCCCGTTTGTCTGTGTGTGTCTTCGCCGCACTGATTACAGGCTCGTAACCCACCCTTCCCGCGCGTTAAGGAGCTCGGCGATTTTGGGGGAGACAACGTCCTCTCGTGCGCACTGAACCGGGGGCGCGTGCTTCTCTCTTGGGTTGGAGGTCATTGTCGCGCGAACGATTCCAAAAACGAAAAAAACCCGCACAGAAATCCTACTGGAAAGGAAAAACATCTCCAAGATGAACCGCGCGCATCGTCAGAAGCATCTCAAAACAACAATAACAACAACAAAACAACAACAATCACCGAGTGGCGTGTCCAAGCTCGAGCCACCAACCGTCCGCACCATCGGGGTGCCGCGGCAATCCAGGAGCGGGAAAAACGAGGCGGGGACACGAGGAGTGCACGCGGCACAGAGACCAGATTTCCAAATGGCTCGTGCGTCGTTGGCACAGCTCGGTCCGCTTTACCGTGCCATGGCTGTCCTATCTGCGCCTGCAGCACGAATATTCACGTTAATTCCAGTCTTCTGTCTTCTACACACACACACACACACGCGAGCACACAGATCCAGACAGCGGTGAGGTCAGCAACTCAGAGAGGAGCAAAAAAAACACGAAAAAACATCCAAAAATCTTGTTCTCTTAGAAACTCGGCGACGACTCAGAAATATCAACTTGTTGTTGCGCGCGAGGCTCCAGATTAAAGTCGAGAGCGCGAGCCACTCAACCCTCCTCAGGCCTCCCCATCGAAACGGGGGAGGGGGGGGGAATGCAACACCTGGCTGTGAGATCTGAGAGAGCCGCCCTCCGTCACAATCCTATCCGCTTCTCTCTGAGAGGACGGCGCGCGAGACGGAGAGCGTCTCCATGGGAAGCGTCCAGTAAGTAATGCCTTCTGCCTCCGCGTGCTATGCGCGCGAGGCTGACAGAGAGCGAAGCCTCCTTCCTCCTCCTCCTCCAGTTCCTCGTCCTCCCGCGAGCCGTCTCTCTCCGCGTGAGACCTCCCGGGTTTGGCTCTTTCTCCTTCTCCTCCTCTTACTCCTCCTACAGTGTTTTTTTTTTTTTAAAAAAAGGGCGTGCAGTAGCACCCGCGTGGAGTTGATTTGCAGAGAGCGGGAGACTGGTCAGCGAGTGGCACCGGGGGGCGAGCGTGTCAGCTACGCTCCAGTTTGACGTCACACCTCCGCGCGCGCGCGTGTGTGTGCGCTCCCCTTGTCTTAACCGTCCCTATCATCCCACGCTCTTCTCCTCCTTTGTCTTTTTTCCTTTCTCTCCCCTCCATTGTCTGCCCCCCTCCTTTTACTCTCTCTCTCTTCTCAGCTGCCCAAATTTGGGATTAAACGGTGTCGCTTAAGCACAGCCTACACACTGTTTATGATTTCCCTGGGCTGCTCTGTAGCTTCCTATTATCCTCTGTCATATTTACATACTGCTGCAGTGGAGGAGGCTCGTTTTAGTCCAAGCCTCAACCTCCAGGGCTGTAAAACGAAGCCAGTGCAGAAGTGGACTGCAGTTCCTCTTACGGCCACATGAGGCTGGATCCCAAAGTGAGTCGATCCCCACTGACTCCCATGTTAAAATACCCATTGTTACAGCTAAAGTAACCATATTTACAGCAGGCTACAAAATACACTGTAGCACGTGTAACTAAGTTCACCCTTTATAACAACCAAACGGGGCTAGAATCTGTTTAAAACTCACTCATTTGGATTCAGGAGTTAGGAGTATCTTTCGTCACCTCAACTAACTGAAGCCACTGACCGTAGTTTCTTGGGCATTTTTAGTGCAGCTATCTGTCAAATATTACAGCGTGCTGTCTTGATCCATGCTCAATCATCCAGGTAAGGAAATCCCAAAAACATGATTGTTTTCATCTGGCTCAGGAGGTAGAGCAGGTCATCTACTGATCGGAAGGTTGGTGGCTTGATACCTGGCTCCCCCAGTCTGGATGACGAATATCCTTGGGCAAGATACCTGCCCGAACATAAGACAAGGAAAATGGTGGTGCAGAGGCAAGTGATGTTTTAACTGCCATAAATGTCAATATTCTTAATTTATTGTGTTTATGTATTTTATTTATTTCCTTTATTTATTGTTGTTCCTTTTGGGGTAGGAACTAAGTTACATTCTGTGTTGTGCACAGGCCCCTTAAAGTGATGCAAAGGGCAGTCAAGAAAGCATGTGCAAAGAAGCTAAGTCACAAATCCATCTTTGAATGAAGAACCGTGGTGTTGTGTATTACCTAGAGGGAATGACAGGCGTAAATAAAAAAATTAATCTTCAGTGCCCGTTTGCAAACACCAGGATACACAAAGTCCAAGGAACTTCACAGGATGAAACAAACTTGAGTACAAGAAACTTAAGGAAGCCTAAACAGGGAACTCGACAAAGGGAAAGACAAAATAAACTACGTAGCAGGGAGTGATTACACAGTTACACACTGGTGTGAACCAGGCACTGACAAAAGAGCAAGGACACACACAGGAAGTAAAGACAAACAAGGAAAGCAGCCACAAAATACTCTAGAACCAAATAAGAACCTGGAGCCATGACAAACATGGGCTCTTCTAATCTGGTAATTTACCTCTCCTGCGCTCTGCCTCCAGTCCATAACTCATCCCATGTTACCTGGCAGACTCACCTGGCCTCCAGCCTCTGCTGAAACCAGACTCCAGTCTGCAATGATCAAACTCCTGTCTGTGCATCATAATAAACCTTTTTAACTAAGTTCCTATCAATGCCACTTCTAGACCTCTCCGTCATACCACATGACCTTCATCAGCAGAGTCTGCATAAGTGAAACTGACATAAAGCTTATGAAATAACACAAAGAGCCCTAAAATCCCATTAAACTCACCATTCAGCTGTGACTCCTCATCGCTTTCTGATCACTAAAGTACTTTTGATCTTGATGGTGTCTCCTGAACTATGGTCAGAGTTCCTTCAGCTCTACTGAACCTGGCTTCATTTATGAAGCTTGAAATGTTTTTTGAGGATTTACAGTACAATTATCTGACAAATACATGGCTTGCTTGTGCGGTTAATATACCACAACCCTGTGGAAGAAGTCTGTGGATCAGTTTTAGTGAGTGAAATTCCATGCATGTTGTTATTCTGTCACTTACCTGTCACTTGGCAGGTATCTGCCAAGGGCGACCGTGGCTCAGGGGGTTGGGAAGTGTATCTGTAACTGGAAGGTCGCCGGTTCGATCCCTGGGCTCTCTGTCCTGGTCGTTGTGTCCTTGGGCAAGACACTTTACCCTACCGCCTACTGGTGTTGGCCAGAGGGGCCGATGGCACGATATGGCAGTCTGCCCCAGGGCACCTGTGGCTACAACCATAGCTTGTCTCCACCAGTGTGTGAATGAATAGTGGCATTGTAAAGCGCTTTGGGTGCCTTGAAAAGTGCTATATAAATCTAATCCATTATTATTATCTGCAGGTGTTTGTACTTCTACAGTTTGCTAACCAAGCTAGCTATCTTTAGCTAACTACAAATTGGTATCATCAAGGCAAGTTTATTTGTATAGCACAATTCAACAGCAAGGTGATTCAAAGTGCTTTATAGAGACATGAAAAACAAAAACAAATAAAAAGCATGATTTAAAATGGAAAAAAAAGAAAGGAACAGTAGATAAGATCAGTAGTTAAAATGTAATCATCTCTGACAAAATAATAAAATGCATGAAAAGAAACAGATGGTTGTGGATCTTGTAGGCTTTAAAACGAGGCTTTAAAACGAGGAGCTCAGACACCAGTAGATGATATTGTGGTGGCTGTGTCCATCTTTTATTTACAGTCAACACTGTATATGCAAATGTGCGCATAATATGACAGCATGAAAGGTTATACTGTAACCTGTAGACGTGCAGGTCTGTCATTGTGTGGTGATGTGGTTTAGTTTTAGCTTAAATGAAATTTCCATCATATTTTGACACTGCTTATTATTCAGTGATTCATTTTCCTTGTAGTTATTAAGTAAACAGAATTTACTCGCTCAGATTGTGAACGAGCAGAGACGCAGTATTTAGTGTTTCCTCTGATGTTCGGCTTCATTTATATGCTGCAGCTCGTCTTCGTGAAGACGTGGGAACTGCAGATTTACATTATTAGTCTTGTTTTAATCCCTATCAGTTCTGACGCCTACTTCTGAGGACAAATAAAGGACACGTTGAACAGTGGCCGGCTCTCACTGGCACTCGATATCATTTGGTGAGATTCTGTTTGAGGAAGGATTTCAGTAATTCTCCTTTCCTGGGAAAAAAGAAGCCAGTGTAGAGACAAGGCGGGTGAGGGGAGGGTAAAAATAGACTGAATAGCAATGAGGCAACTTTTCTCCTGCCCTGAGCCATGTGTGAGTCAAAGTAGGGTTTGCTTCTCCACATAAGGACCCCATGCAGCTCCTGGAGGTTTAGCGGGGAGTAATTTCACCCAATCTAATCGCGGTGCGGCGAGCTCCGGCGAGCCTGCTTCTCTCGGATAAGGAAAAGTGGGACACGATATTCACACACAGCAGGAGACCACGGAGTCTCCAGCGTGCTCGTTTCTCTCCCCAATACTCTGAATACTTTTTGGGCATTTTCAAGACACTATGACTTAATCTGAATTAATCTCACTTTAACAAGCGTCCCCTTGGCAAGACAATGAGTAGCGATGTGAGGAGGATGACTGTCAAAACATCTCTGGGGAGTTCTTTCATAATTAATTTGAAGCTTGTGATTAACATGCGAGGGCCTCCCAGGCTCAGATTAGATTCATTCTCAGGTTATATTATGGACGTTTTACTTCATATCAGAGCAGATTTGAATGAGCCCCAGATTAAAGATGACTAATATTATCAAGCAGGAGTTTGTGGTGCGTTTATTTGTTTGATGGTTTTCTTCCATGTTTTTTAATGGCTGCACCTTCCTTGTTCATCTCAATGCTTTAACCACTCCCTGTTTATTTTGGTAGTGTTTTGTGTGTTTTGGCTGGTTCTACTTCCTGCCTTTAACCAGTTCCCTGTATTCTGGTTGTTTGCTCCGCACTCATCGCCTCCATCTGTGTCTTACTGCTTGAACGTGCATCTCTATCCTAAGCTGTTTGCTAGCTGGTGGAGGTCTCTCCTTTGAAATCTTTTGGTCGTTTTCTCCACTTTTGTTTGCCAGTTTTAGTTTTTCGGCCGAGCATGAAGTGAATTTTAGAGGAGACTAGATGCAAACATAATGGGAGGTAGGTGGGGTGCCAGAAATGAGAAGGCTTCCACCCACAAGTCAAGAGTTTGCATCCCATCAAAGCTCCACTTTCTAGTTTTACTTTGGTTTTTCATTTTTGGTTGTAGAATATTCCGAGTTTGTCCCCCAAAGTCTCTAACAGCCCCTGACCGAGGGAAACTGTAGGGAAACATAGAAAAGGGGGGAAAGAGCCCAGAGTCACAAATCAGTGTGATGGTTTTTTGTCTTTTGAAAATTGATCTCTGAAATCCTGACAACCAAGGGACAAAAAGAAAACCTCAAACGGGGTTTAGTATAGACCAGTGATGGGACCTCAGAGGGTTAATGAACCATATATTTGCTATTTATAGAGTCTTTTATTATATTCTCTGCTTGAATATGGACCATCAGTAAAAGCATAAACATAATAAAAATGCTCCATGTAAACACCTGACTCATAAAATTTCAGGGATTAAGTCTGATTAAATCCTGGCTGCGCTCGTACCGGCGACGCCGTCCGTGTTTTTGTAGATGTGCTTTGGAATGCAGTTTTGTTTGTTTCTCAAAAAGGCGACTTTCAATTTGCTCTTCAGAAAATGAGTTTATTAACACAAAGTCACAAAGATTAGGAGCAGCTAATCCACCGAAGGAGCGAGCGTTGAAACACGAACGTGCCAAAGCGAGATCGCCATCAGAAGGAGAGAGTGTGTGCACGTAGCTGCAGAGCGTGACCTCTGAACCCTGACACTGCAGCCTGATCGTGCTTCGAGAGCTCCTCGTTCACAGAGCAACATTTTTAAATCGGATGCTAAGTGTTGGTGTGGCTGTAACTGATTATTCAGTGCTCATTTACAAACACTGCAGACATTTCAAATGTCAAACCTGCCTCCATGTGACTTCCTAATTTCACATTTCACGCTGATCTTGTCAAAGAGAGCCCAAATACAAACAGCGTGCCCCCAATTGAACAATTACTTTTGTATTTGTGAAGTTTTGGACGTGATAATTGTCGGTGTTTCTTCTTTTAAAGGTAATGCATTCGCTTCTTTTGAACGAAATCCCTGAAAACC